GCCGCCATGGACAGCGGGCTGTGCCGCCGCTCTGCCGCTCTGCCGCCCGCCCCGCCGCGCCGGGGAGCCCAGCGCCGCCGAGGGGGCGTGTCGGGCCCCCGGCGCCCCCACCCCGCCGGCCCGGCCCGGCCCGGCCCGGCCCCGCGGGCGCACGGGGCAGCGGCGGCACGGACCGCCCAGGGAGGGGAGGCGGCGGCGGCGCAGCCTTGGTGGCTCTGGAGGAGGTCGTGGGCCGGGTGGGAACCGGAGCTGCCGGGTGCGGGCGGCACATCTCCGCAGACACCGGCCACGCTCCAAGGACGGCCGTTTATAGCGGAACGCGCGGGTTTCACGGCGTGAATTTCGTCAGCCCTGCTAGAGAGTACCGCACATTGCAGCCGAGGGATGTACGACGGGTTAGTATCAGGGAGAACTGGGATATCACGTTTCCCTGCCGCTTAAAACTCTCAGGCTAGGTTTCTAAGAAGAGCAAACACCGACAGTTTCTCCTATTAGAAGGATAAGCCCTACTAGGTTGAATCAGCAATACACTGCCTAAGCACAGAATTGGAATTTCTTCTAGGCGAAAAAAAAAAAAATCAAACCAAACCCGTCCTCCAGCAAAGCCAGCCAATGCAGGCAGAATGCACAACTTTTATTGTTTGTGAAGCGATGAGATCGATCGGTGTGGTGACACAGCTCAGGGTTGCCTTCTGTGACACACGTGTACCTGCGCGGGACAGGAAAGAGTTTCCGACGCGGGTGCAAGAAGCAGAACAGGTCCCTGCCGCGACTCTGTCACTGGTTTTAGACACGCGTCTGCACCGGGCTCTGCTGTGCAGAAAGTCAGGTTAGCTCAGGGCAAAGGCAGATGCAGTTTGTCTGCTTCTAATTTAGGCAATACGCAGTTAACGCTCCTCACTGAGCAGCCTGAAACACCAGCCAGATGGGTGGATTCACTTTATTTATGTTTATGTTACCGGGTTAGAAATTAAAATAATGGTCTGCCTCTCCACCTGGTCTGCTTCGTTTTCTGCCCTAATGTTTTCAGTGGCATAACTAGCCACTAGACCCTCCCCAGAAAGGGAGCAGGTGATGCGTGGCGCAGTTGGGGCTGGAGGATGCTGCTGCCCTGTTCCTAGTGACACAGCCCTGCTGAGAGCCTGCAGCTTCTGACACACAGTGGGTGAGACTGCACAGGGTGTGCCCTGGCTGTGATCATGCAGTGGGACCTCTCAGTCTTGCAGAGCTGCACTGTCCTTGGGCACATCTGCTCCATCTTCCCCCCTCCATGCACAGCAGTGCCAATGCCTCTCTCCTGACTCACTCATAGCACTGCCCTCTGTGCACACTGCGTGGGTCACAGCTGCAAGTCACCCCTGCAAAGGAACCTTTGTGAAACATCCCTAAGAAATTCAACTTTAATGTTATGGCCAGTGGGATGGAGATTTTCAGAGATTACAGCAAGTCAGCTATCACGGCTGGTGATCCTCAAGGCTATTTTAATAAAAATAATGTATATAAATGATCACTTTTAAATACCTTCCTCCCCAAAACCCTGCAGAAAGTTTCCCTTTCACTTCTTGTTGGTTCAATACCACTGGAGCAGCCAATGAGACAGAGTGAAGTGCCTCAGCAGAGCACAGCTGTTCAGTAAGAGAGCAGGAGAAATGAACTCTGAACTCAGGTCATTTCCAGATGGCAGAGTTTGGGGAGGAAAGGCAAAATAAATGGTTGCCTACATGTAAAATAATCAAGTAGAAAATCTCAGGCCTCCTGTGCTTACCCATGCACAGACAGGTTAGAAGCTGATCCCAGAACAGCTCTTTCAGTAGCTGAATTTCCTTTGTTGCTTTTTAACCTTAATAGCTCTTTAATTACTGTTCTTATTTTCAAATCAAGTATACATCTGTGTCATATTAATGAATATTCATTGTCACTGGAGAGGTATTAAATACATTTTTACCTGTTTCCAAGGGAATAGATGCCAGCTGTGTGTACTATTATCTAATTTCAGCCAGTCCTCAGCACTGTAATAGTATCAAGGCCTGTTAGAGAAGACTCACAGATACATAAAAAATAACAATGAATGCGTATTTACTTGCTTTACAGTAGCACTTAGGGATTCCTGCCAAGACCTGGCTCTGCTGTGCAAGGCTTTCTGCAGAGGATGGCACAAGAGGGGGCCTTGCTTGACACAGCTGACATCTGAAATGGGAAACACAGTGAGGTGCTGCAGCAGGGATGTAGCAGTGGGGTATGTGGTCATTTGAGTGTCTTTTAGTTCCTTGGAGGGTTCTGCCTGGCTTTATTGCCTTTAGCATGTGAGCACTGTGTGGAGCAGATGGGTATGTGTTACAGATATCTGCTTTGTGATTGTATGGGCGCAGCAGCAGAGGCTGCTTAAACCCAGGGAAGGCCTCCTGTTGCAAATCTCATCATTCAGCCCCTCCAAGTGCAAATACACATATGGTTAACCTGTGTGCTCCCCTAGGCCCACCAGTATCTTACACTTCCTTATCTACATCCATTCCTTTATAGGCTATAGATGGAGCAGAAGGTTGTCCACTGTTCAGAAAATATCAGACTGTGCTATAATTTCAGTAAGTGTGATTGAATCCCATACTTCTTAGCTTCTTCCGGCTTCCTAGAAGGGCTGGAATGAGTTTCCTCTCATGAAAACTTGTCCTGGCACTAATGCTAGCTGGGGTCCTTTCTCAAAATGTATGAGTCTGTACATGAAGTGTAGATGAAAAATTGGGAGTCTCGTGTGCTCCAGACTAATTGGGGTGAGAAAGCATCCTGTTTTCCCATGCCAACACTGAAAGTGTTTGCCTTCTGAAAGACAGACACCTCTGGGTACAATTTCTCTAACTAGTTCCCTCCTATCCCAAGAGATCCAGGCAGCAGCATTTCCCTATTTCTTGTCTATGACACTGATCTAGAAGGGATAGGATCAAGCTCTTGGGTTAGCATAAAAAACCTGGGGAGAAATCCTGGGGGTAAAATTTTCACTCTGAGCACGTACATGAAAGTCCTGGGCATCAGTCCAGAAGAGGGAGGCCAGGAGTTTATAGGTCTGGGAGAGGGATCAAAGAAACCTGAGCAGCCACTTCACAACAGGAGGAAGACTTAGACAGCTCTAATAAAGACTCTTGGGAATACATGTCATCACTGCTGCCCTTGCCTTTGAGGGCAGCAGTTACCTTGACTCCTGCCAGCTGAACTTCTGGCTGTCTCCAGACAGTTCCTGCCCAGCTACAAGTGTGCACATCTGCAGCAGGGTGAGAGCCAGAGGAGCTGCTGGAGGGCAGGCACTTACCTGCAGAGTGCAGGGGCAGGAGCCATCCTGAGCAGCCTGGCTTTGCACATCCATGTCAACTGAGAACCCTTCTTGCATCCAGCCTCCAGGCATACAATGCTGGCTTGTGTGTGGCCATGCCCAGGTGGCACCCAGGAAAAAATCACCCCACCAGCCATTTCCAGATTTCCCTTTGTATTGCCCAAGAGCCAGGAAAAGGATAAGAAGAAAGTTAGATGCAGGTATGATACCTTCCTACAAGCAAGTGAACTAGGGAGACACTTTGCTCTGCTTTTTTGCCTTACCAGCCAGGAACCCTAGCCAAAGTCTTGGGGCAATAATGATTGCCCTAGAACAGAAATAGTTTCTCTTCACCAGCAGGAAGAAAAACTGTCCTTTTCTGTGGTGTCCAAGACAGCTGCAGCTCCCAGGTGTTTTTACAGCCCATGGCAGGCACAGCTGTCCCCCTAGGCACTTCTGGTCTGAGGTTTCTCAACAGGGTTTCACAAAGTTGATGCCAGCACCCAGCTGGCATATAGGGCACTAGGAAGCAGCTTTCCTGAACCTGTTCAGTTTGGGGATTTTTTTGTTTGTTTATTTGTTTCGGTTGTTTTGGATTTTTTTCTTTTTTTATTGTCAGATGAAGGATGACTTCCTTGCTAGAGGTGGAGGATGAAGCCATGCAGGGCATTTGCATGGCCCCACAGGCCACCATCTCCTGCAGTGGTATGAAGGCAGCCTGACCTAAGAAGGAGCTGTGAAGGCTGAGGAGCGCTGCTGCTGTTGGGTGCATCAGCAATGAGTGTTTGCCATCTGCTGGGAGGCAATCAGCCTGACAGGAGACACTCCTGGATGCAGGAAAAAGAGCAAGACCTGGGCCACTGGTCCTGTAAGAGCTGGATGGCATTTGGGCTTGCAGAGAGAGCAGGAAGAGTATTGATACCTGCGAGGAGGGTAAGCACCAAGCAGTCAGGAAGCTCTGGTCTTGAGCACATGAGGGTGCTAACACCCATCTTGAGCCCTCCTTGGAAGTGCCTGACCTCACTGCAGAGGTGGCAGAAGGCAGTTAGGTGTGTATAACTAATGAATCTCAACTAGTTTATTGGTAGCAGTGAGCAGATCCCTGGTGTGGTGGCATCTCACATTTCCACAGCACAGTTTGCCAGTGTCTGTCGAGCTGTCTGTGTGCTGTTCACAGCTTTCCCCCCACTCCCCACAGCACAGAGATACTGCCTGCCTTTGACATATTCCCAGGATTCAGCCATTTGTCATGCCACCAGCACATCCAGCCTGCCTGGCATGGGGCATCCCAGTCCCTATTGCATCAGCTCCTGGGAACACATGTCCAGCTGAAGAGCCCTCAGTCTTCCCAATGAGATTTCATTAATGTCTAGCAGGATATAATCAGATTTCCAGTACAAGGTCTTGAAGAGCTGGTCTACTGATAGTTGGACTAAAACTTCCCTTGCAATACAGGTATTGGTACCCCAGGTGAAAGTCATATTACTACACTGTGAGATGTTGATTGTATTATCAAAAGCAGCATCAACCTTCTGGGCTTTCTATCCCACTGCTGCACTGAATGTGATGGTGCACAACAGCAGCAAGGTCAGGGAAAGCTCTGGGATGTTACTCTCCTGGTATGGAAACCACCACAGGAACCTGACAGTGTATAGACTGTGCTCTTGCCCTTTTAATTCAGAAAGATAAGAAACAAATGTGCCATTATCAATTACCTTTAATTCTCTGTATTTCATGATAGAGGAGGCCCAAACTCCTATTAGGTATCCACACTTCTGGAAGGCAGCATTTTCAAATTATAGTTTTTTCTCCCTAGCAGAGCCTGGCTGCAAGCCTACATGCAGTGAGCTATTCAGGCACATCTGCAGAAGAAGGGGGTGCAGGACCTTCCTTCTCCTGTCTCTGGCTCAAACTGCAGACACATTTCTTCAGTGGTAACACCCTTTTAAGCAGCATTTAGTTCAGACACTTATTTCCAGCCCTACTAGACCATCTGGTGAAAGTGTTACTGTAGCTTTGTGGCAAACATAATGGGGAAAATAAAGATCCAGGTTAAAATAAACACAGCAAGACTTTCCCCACAAAGAAGAGTGTCTCAGAAGAATGAGCACAGGCTGTGTGGAAGTGTAGGAGGAAGCAGGATAGTCCCTTTCTGCAGTGTGGACTGGGAATCTGTGCTCTGCATAACATCAAAAGAAAAGTTGAAGAGATTGAATAAAAATCAGGCATTAGCAGCAGGAAGAAGTAGCAGCCTCAGACTCTGATTTTCTGAGGTTTTTTTCAGATTGTTGTTATCAATTGTTATTCACATTTGGAGCAGGGATAGAAAAAATGCTTTGACCCAGAGACTGTCTCCAAACATCTCTTCTCAAATTCAGCCCAAATCTATGCTCTACTCTTTTCTGATTTCATTGTGTAAGACACTCCTCAAACAAGGGCTTACTGAGACCATGTTGTGTTGTATATAAGCTTAGTGGAAACCATGAGCTGGGATTGGTGTGTAGGTTTGTGTGGCACTCCAGGGATACCCCAGTGAAAGGATGCCCTTTTCCAAGTCTGGTCAGAATCAAATAGCCCCCAGGGAAAAAGAACAAACTTGGCAATTCCAGGTACACTTCCAGACTGAAGATGCTCAGAAGAGTGACTCTTGTAAGGTTTTCTTCAATAAATTATAAGGAAGGTTAGAAATAATTTCAGTCTAGTAATTCTCTAAAAGGGTCTACAAAATTTAACCTTTGATTAGTGTCAAGATCTTCAAAATCAGAAGAAACACTACCAGTAGCACGCCATGCTCCCCTCCCTGAGCAGTCATGCCTGGCAGCCTCTTGCAGAGCTCCTTGGCTTTAATTTACATATTACTCCATCTAGTGGCTTTATAGTTCCAGCCTCTATGAGTTTAAAACTCTGTCCTGGCACCAGCTGTATTTCAAACCTCTGCAGCAGCTTTGCCATCACCACTTTTACCTCCATCTGTTAAGAAGAAAACAGAAATCAGTGACAGAAAATACAGCTTGGACTGCAGCTGCTTAAAGTCAGTCTGCCATTTTATACTGCTTTGTCAATACAGAGATTTAAAAATTAAATGTTACTCTGTTACTGCAGCTGGTTGAGTTTGGGCAGGAAACCTGGGACTTCCTGGATTTGAAGACAACTGAGAGGCACTAATATCAGTCTTTCTGTTTATGTGTTAAACCCATTTTGGAAGTCAGATTGTAAAACTAAAGCACTCTGAACACTGGAGCTTAGATGCGCTCATAGCACAGACACAAAGCACTGGCCTCTGGCTGTCCTAAAACGCTCTCTGCCATGCTTACACACATTAAATTGTTCCTTCTGTCCATGTAGCCCTCTCCTCACCTTCTCTGGGCCAGTGCTGGCTCGTGTCCTCCTCCAGCTGATGTTTTCCCTGCCTTGATTGTGTCAGCGGCAGCCATGAGATGACCCCCAAGACCCCCTGCACATCCCCAGGATGCGTGTGCTTGACCTTGGCTGGCAAAAGAATGTTGACTGTGATTCCCACTAAGGGGCTTGGATTCGAGCAGGCTGGCCCAGGACGTTTGGAGGGTGCCTGCTGCTTCTCCCTGCAGACACCTCGGCTGCATGGATGTCTGCTCTTGTGACAGCATTGGTGAGACATGCCTGTCATGGGCATGGGGGGAGATCTTCCTCTGAGGAGAAGAGGGGCAGTGCACAGGACATCAGCGTGGCCTCTGGTGCCCACCACCACCCATGGTCAGCACACCCTGAGCTGGCCCAGTGCTTGCTACCCAAGTGTTGTTCCAGGCCTCTACTCACCTGTGCAAACACCTGCCCGATGCAGGATCGGGGTCCCAGAGAGAATGGAAAATAGCAGTAATATGGCCTGCAAAGAAAAATGCTCAAAATTGTCACTCTGACAACTTGGTTGTAAAGCAATGAGCAAATATTTCATCACAACAGCAAGGACATGGTCTAAATATCCCTTCACCTGTTGGGCTTGTTAAAGCAGTCTCCAAATTAACTCTTTTTTGCTTCAGAGCAGCAATACGGGAGCTGCACATTTCCTTCTCATTGCTCTTTACTGTATGGCTCCGCTGACAGAGCTGTTTTGATGCATGCAGCCTTTCAAAGCTGAATGTCAAGCACACTCTAAATGCTCTTTAGCCTGTCATGAGGATGTCACAATCTGCCCAATTATTGCACCGTTGGGCACCTCTGAACCATGTGAGTGAGAGGGTGTTTGGTTTAGGAGATCAGACTAACTCTAGGCTGAAGGAAAACTCCTGACTCACAAAGTAGCTGGTGCTGATTTCTGCATCTGTGTAGTCACTCACTGGTTCCTTCCATTGCACTCCTGACCACTGACTAGACTAGACTGCCTACACACATGGCTGAACAGCATCTTCCCTCCCTCAGCCCCTTCTCCCCTGTCTAACATGGAGACATTTCAAGCCCCCTGGGACCAGGACTGTCATGGTCCTGTCATTCCAGCTTGCAATATACTAAGGAAAATATTCAACCTGGTTTGGGCCCAAAGCTTTGACCTCAATACAAGCATTTAATAACAATAACATTGGTCTTTTTTTTTGTAAGGTAACATGTGGTCTAAAGAATTATTGAAAAAAAGCTGTGCATTATTGTTCTCTATTTACATTTGGATGATTTAGTGTTACTCATACTGAAATGGAAAAAAATTTGATTCTACTTTTCTTTCCTTAAAATCTCTTCCTGTAATGGTTTCTTAATACATATTTAATAACATGGGAGTTAAAAGAAACTCACTTAGGTGCATCTTTGCTGAATCGCTCTGGATCAAAAGTAAATGGATCCTTGAAAAACTTTTCCATCCTTCCCATTACATAAGTGTTGAGCTGGCAAGAAAGAGTTTATTTTTGTTAGTCAGGAGCAACACACTGAAAATGACTCTTTGCTGTCAGAGGTATAAAACCATAAATGCCTTCCACTCTCCAGTCTCCACTGAGATTCTTAAATCATACCCCAGTTTTGGTCAAAATTTTAGAGAAGCAAGTACAAATATGCCCAGGGAAGATTTTGGCCCTCTCATCCCCAGGTCTGTTACATTTGGATTAACTGAGGCAGCTGATGGTGGATGGGACTCACAAAGATAGTGGTGTTTGCAGGAATTCTGATGCCATTGATGACATGCTCCTTCTCCAGCCTTCGGAGCGTCCCCGAGACGGGCGGGTACAGCCGCAGTGACTCCTTCAAAACCTGTGGCAGCAAAAAGCACAAGAGGTCAGTTAGTTCATACACTGCAGGAAGCAGAAATAAAATTAATTACCTCCCTGTGGCCTTTCATTTTTGCTAAATGGGAGATTTTGACTTTTGAAACGGATGTTGGTCTATCTGCCTTGGACTCCTGTGGGCAAAATATATGGCTACATCAGCTCCTTCAGGCCTGGTTCTTTCTTACTGATGGTCAAATAGAGAGAAAAAGACACAAAACCCAGAAGAGATCCTGGAACAGATCCAACACCTCAAGTCAGAAGAACAATTAAGTGAAAAATTATTAGGAAGCAAATCTAAGAGTGAAGTCTCCTGCCCCTGATGAGCTGTTCTGGGCACTGGCTGCCATGAGGGTGGGTGATTGCTCCCACTTCCTTCCCACTCTCAGCTCCTGCCTTTGTCCTGTTTCTGCTGCTTGAGGAGCTGAGCCAGGTCAGAGACCCAAAAAGACAAAAAACAACCTGGCAAAGGAAAATGAATAGGGAATGTTGAGAAAAAAAATGGAACAAGACCACTTCTTTTGGTGTCAGTGAGCTGTAAGAATGGCTTATTTCATCAAAGTGAAACCTAATTAACAGTGCACATGAGCATCACACTGAAAATGCAATTAACAGTGTGCATGCACGAGTGGACTAATGAAAAAGAAACCTGGACAAAAGGATTCAGAATTGCCTGAACAACAGGAGAGGAGTCCCATGGTCTCTGATACTCCAGTGATGGACTGGCTCTGACCAAGGGTGACTGATTTTGATTGTACAGATCCAAGATTGTGCTGTTAAATAAACTGTCTGCTTTGAGGAGCTCTCATGTGATCTGTCTTAAAACTGAAGGCTTAGATACCTCATCCTAATTGGAGTGGTATAATTGTGATGGTGTTTGGAGAAGCCTAAGGAAGCCTGCTGATTTCTGTAATCACATAGAATTGCCTTTTCCTTATGAGAAATAGACCTATGAAATCTATCTGCTATCAAAGCACAGTAATTTGTGGGATGGGATATGCCAAATGGTAAAACACTGTTGCAGGGCAATTTAAAACAAAAAAGATCGTGGTGGACTACTAGAATCACAGGGCAATTTATGCACAACATCTGCCAGGACTGTGATTCAGCCTCTCCTGAGGGCTACTGGTGTCCCCCATCTCGTGAAGAAAGGAAATGCAACACAAATACTGGCTAATAGCCAACCCTGGTTTTGCAGTTTGTTACCAACCAGCACTTCTATACACAAGACCTCTTTTAGGACCAAACTCTTTCCCTCACCACCCCCGAGTGACTGAAGAGGGTTTCAAGGCTGAATAATGAAAAAACTGACATTAGAAAACCCAGCCATTATTTTTGGCTATCCTCAAATCCCACTTTATTGCATATGGTTAGATCATAGCTGGAAATGCTTTAACAATAATCAAAAGTAGAGCAGCAAATTAGGAAAGTGTGTGGCTCACACACAGGTTGGGCTCAGATCTGCACACCTTAAAATTACAGCCATTGATTCACTTTAAACTGACAGGGATTATGCAACTCTACTCTAGCTTCCAGACTGGTAATAATTAAGGAAAGCAGTGAAAGAATCTGTAAATTTGATTAGCATCTTCCCAATAAGTCTGGACTGCTGCAAATGTGTCAGACTACATGCTGTCTGAGTCTCTGGGGACAAACATCATCAGGAGAAAATATTAGCATAGTTTTTAAAATTTTAAAAGTTTGGACATCCTTCATGACTAACAGAAGCTACCAAACAGCTCTGCCTGATATCTTACCTCACTCCTACAGTACCTGAGATAAATAGGTGAGCTTGCCAAGATCCTCATAGTCAACGTTTCTCTTGGCACCAAGAACCTCATCCACTTCAGCCTGAGCCCTGCAGGTCAATTAAAAATTGTTAGGTGCAGATGCCTGTTTCTTGCCAGGCAAGAAGTTGACAAATTACATTATTTTACGTTCCAGACACTGAGTTGGACTTAAACACCTATACTCAGGCAAAATGCCAACAAATTCCCATCCATGCTTCCTGAACTTGTACCTCATATCAGGATGAGGCAATGTGCATACAAGGCAGCTGAATCAGGTGGGATTTGGCACCTGTATGTATAAAGGCTTTGAAAAAAATCACCAGGTGAAACTGAAATACTCCACCATAAGGTTTTTCTTTTTATACATTTTGGATATATTGGTACTAGGAAACTGTTTAGTTTGGAAGGGAGGCTAAAATTCATTGATCTTATCTTTTTAATAACCCTTACAATTAAGTTCACCTTTTAATTAACATCAAGCTGGGTCTGAAAATTGGAGCACACGTACCTTTCCAGTATTTCAGGATGCTGACCCAGTGCCATTACTGTAAATGTCATCTGATTGGAACTGGTTTCATGACCTAATGATAACAAAAACCAGTTTAAAAGTTAGTATGAAATAGTAACACGATACAAAGATGGTCTACTAGGGTGATTGTGAATAGGAAGCTTTAAACATCAAACCCCACATGTTTTATTTTAAATATGCTAGAAAATGAAGGAAATAATAAAAGGTATGTAAAGTCTATGTAACGAGATTTCAACAATGACAAGAAAAGGACATAGCTGGCAAAGATATGACCCATCTTGTGCAAGTCAAAGCTGCAGTGGTTGCATGCAGGACCAACTACTAGGGTCATGAGCTCTCCAACAGGAGGGCTGGTGAGGTCTGGGATTTGCCTTGTCATATTATGGGACACACAGTTCTGCCAAAAAGGAAGGATTTACTGGTTTTGAGGGAAAATAGAGCTTCTTATCATCTTTCTTTGAAAGATCCGCTTTACATGTTAGGATGACCCTGCTTAAGCAAGGAGTTTGGACCAGAAGACCCTTTCAACCTTACCCACTCTGTGACTCTGTGATGTGGACACTTTTCCCTTTTTTTCATGGATAGACATATGTACTATTTTAAAGCATTACAGAAAACAGACTTCTGCAAAGATGTCTGCTGCAATAACATCTTTCTTGCTAAAGAACAGCATTTTGACCACACCTTCTTATGAACATAAATCATCTTGATCTGCAAAATCTGCAAAAAAAAACAAACAACTATCTCACATAATCACTCAGCCCATACATTTTCTGATTGGTTCGACAGTGCCTTCTCCTGCTTAGGCAAGAATGGCATTCAATCATGTGGGTGAGGCGATGCAAAGACACATTGAACATGTAAAAGATGCTTTTGGTGGGGTTTAGTGGGATCTGGGTGGAAGAGCCAGAACCCCATAAGGAATAGCCTTGCACCCCAGTGGGCAGTGGAAAGACAGAGGCTGGAAAACAGAGTGGGACGCCGGTGGTTGGAAAATACCAGCCTTATTTGCTGCATTATTTGCTGCACTGATATCACTGCAAGAGGACAATATACCACTTGCTTGTGAGAAAATTAAGAGTTCTCTTCAGACCTCACTCAGCTGGTCCTATGCCAGTGCAATACTTGGTCTTCCAACCAAGAGACTCCTGGTTGCAGCAGCATCACATGGAGTCATGATGTTAATTATGATTAAAAAGCATGTTAATCATGACCCTGTAGACAGCTCAAGAATGACTACAGATTCCCACATGACATACCCAAGCATTAAAATAGCTACCAACCTGCAACAAAGAAAGTGATAAAGTTATCCAGAATGTTTTCATCATCTCTAGTCTTCTCCAGAGCTGTTAAGATAGCAAAACAAATGGAATTAGAAAAGCCCCTGTGCCCCAGCTGGACCAGCCAGAATGCTCTACCCTGTTTGGCACAAATTGGCTGAGGTGGCATTGAGAGAGGATGCTGAGTGGGCATTTCAGTGGTGACTTGTGACCAGTATTTGATCCAACACAAAGAAACAGGCAATTTTCAAAGCAACTCTCACTATCTTCAGTGTGAAAACAACTTTAAAGGAAGATCCAAGTTCAGATCCCCAAAACAATCCTCCCCAAATTTCACAGCAAAACATACCACAGAGAAATTCACTCAAACAGCAAGGTGTCTCTTACCATCTCCTTTCAGTATCTGTGTAAGAATATCCATTGTAGCTTCTTTCCCATTCTCAATGGCTTCTCTCCTCTGGTCAATGCACTGCTTCCCCACACGTCTCAACAGCTTCACACTCTCCCTGATCTCCTTTACCAGCTTCCGCTTCCCTGGCATGAACTGAATACAGAATTTCTTGTGTCATTTTATTCTTTTTGCTGGTAAAAAATAATGTCAGTGTTGTTTTACAAGTGAGCACCTTGTTTTGCACTAAATGACACTTGCCACAAAAACATTTGCTCTCCATGCAACAAACTGAATGCCCGCAGGATGAAGGGTTTGGGCTGAAATAAGAAATATTTCAGTCTGTGCATGCTGATGTCGTGTCTTGTCAGAGCTGATGTTTTGGGCACTGCGAGCAAAATTCATCGTCTCTCCATGGAAGAAATTGTAGCATGCAATGTAGAATCTCACCCCTGGTCTCAAAAAGGAAAACAGGAGCTGTAAAAGCCTGAACTACAACTTTCATGAGACATTGAAATAATTCTTTACTTAAATATTTCATATTACATCCATAATTTCCTAGCAGATGAATTTGGTAGATTAATTTAGGTTAAAAATATAACTTTTTCACAGCAAGAATGCTCAAATTTCTTCCACTCTGAGTGAAGGCTGCCATCCTTCTTGGACAAATGGCAAAAATCTCAATTTTTAATGGGTACGAGAGCATAAAACCATATCAGAAGGAGACACATGCAGGGGAGAACAAAAGAATAAAAAAGAAGCATTAAATATTAATGTTAATTTCATGAGTTTTTTAAAGCAGTAATGAATTTTATCTAAATGCCCATTGGAGGGAAAGATCTACAGATGACTGTTTCCCCAACATTTATGGACCTTGCACAGCTCCATGAACTCAAGGAGGAGCAGCTGAATGTGAGGAGAGGGGACTGCAGTGAGGAGAGTACAGACCTTTATGAAGGGGTCGCGTGCCTTGTTCAGTCCCTCCATAATCTTAGTCACAGCGTTAGGAAAAGGCGTCTGGTCATCACTCAGTGCATTCAGTTCCAGGCCAAAGGCTGCCTGAGAAGCAGAAGAGAAAAAGGCAACTTGCTGGGATGGGGGTGAAAGAGCAGGAAAACAGCACTGCCTTTCCCCCTAAAAATATCTCTGGCTGTGAGGGGAGGGCAATATTGACATTACGTTTTCTCCTTATTTGGGTAGATTAATAATTTACCGCTATTCTCCATTCCTCCCAAACTGGCTTGCATAGAAAGGGAAAAGGCAGTGTAAGGCAGACTTCTTGCTGACATGCAATGGCAATAATACAACCTCCAACCATGAAAAAGCCCTGGTGTGTCCCTTTTGGCATGGAGGGGTGGGAGGTATGAGGCTGAAAGGACTTTTGCAAAGGGTACTCATCCTGCAGGCCACACCTAGACTATGCAAACCCTTCCCTACCTGCCCTTTCCCATGACTCAGCCAGAATGGAAGTGCCACTATTAGTCCTGCAGATCTTCTGGCACTGCTGGGTAAAGGTCTTTCTCCCTGCCTCCAGCTCCTGATCCCATCCTGCTGCTGGTAGGCATTACTTCCATCCCCTCCTGCCAGTTGAGAGGAAACAAGAAAGGGACAGCTGGTACCTTTCCAATGACATCCATAGTCACCCGGCTCATCATTGACAGCATGCTAAACTCTGTTTTTCCATCTGCCTTTTCCTCTAGCTTCTCCATCAGCTCTTCTGCTTTTTCATTAAAAGTTTCCATCAGACCAATCAGGTAGCTGAACAAGCAATAAAGATGAGTAGTGGGGGCTTTGGAGAGGACATCTTTGCTCAGACAAAATAACTTTCGTTATTTTCCATAGAAAATAGTAAAGTTTTTAAAAATTTATAATTAATTTGCCTTAATACATTAAAAAGCAAACATACTGGACGAGGTGCATTCTTCTTACATCAGTCCTGCTCTGTCCTGCCATGTAATCAACATCTGTCATGGCAAAGGACAGTGGCCTGTGCCCTTTGTACATGTACTTTATCTTTGGGCCCTTCATACAATGCATACAGGTGCACAAGAAAACCAGACCAACTCTCTGCCTTACCTTTTCCAACAGGATAAGGCAGGATACACTACCTTAGGACCTTTCTGCCACTGCTGAGTTCATACGGGTGTCACTGCTCCGTGGGAAGTCTGATCAAATTATACTTAGCGTGGAAATCGAGTGCTGGATTCTACGTTAAATGTTATTCTGGCACTGAATGTTGGAGGCTTTTTCATCCAAGTATCAAATAATGACAGGGAGAAGCATGACAATACAGTAGAAGTAACAGCTAGATAGTCCCAGAAATATTTGCCTTACCTTCGGCTGAAAGCTGGATCCATTATCCTCCGCTGCTTGTGCCAATGCTCATGGTTGCAAACAGTTACCAAACTATTCCCTAGAAACCTAGCACGAAGGAAAACAAGGAAAGGAACAGATTTATGCAAGGGAACCTGCTGAACCCCATGTAGTCACAAATGTAAGTCTTTAACATCTACATTCTTTTATTTTTCCCATGTGTAGGCAGCACCTTTGAGTATGCAACCATTGCAGCACTGTGGATGACAACCGAACCACAGATTTTTTCTCCAGGTAGGTGTGGACCGCTGAATTCAATCAGATGCTGGTTAATTACAACTGTTATGGAAACAATTACTGTAATAACTGAATTATTATATTTTTTAAAGTTTCAGACTAACAAAGAAAAATTCCCTTTTTTTTGGAATTGAATTTAGAAGTTGCAACCTGACATGCCTTATGGAGAGCTCTAAAATCAGTGCTCTGAAATCTGAGAACTTTGATGATGGTCTTGAGCAGACTGCTCTGAGACTAACTGGACATCCCCGGGGGAAAAAGGATACATGATCAAGGTAAAACAAAGTCCAACATATCCTCCTCCCTGACTGGGAAGACATTTGACTTGACATATAGGTACATGCTGTTTACATGTGTCTGGAATGAGAAATGAATCCCCTCACTAAGGTCAATGGTCTGAGTCAAAATAACATGCCTTTGATATTATTAATCTTGCACTTATTTTCAGATCACAGTGGCTTCAGATGGGTTTTGCCTACCTCTCACCAAATAGGCTGAAGAGATTACCATACACAATTGGATCCTTTGGGTGCTGTGGTGACATCAAGAACTCCTAAAATAAAACCTCAGGTCAGTGAATGCTGAGTGCAATCTGTTTCCCAGACAAAACAAAAAATTTCACGCACACACATCTACTCTCTTCTTCTGCAGCTATAGTCTGAAGAGTAGATGAATTATTTGGTGTGCCCTGATTCTCCAGTTCCTGTGCTGCTAGATTGCTTTGCATCCCTCTAGCACTTTTTTGCCCAATGACCTGAAATCTCACTCTGTTGTAATTGCAAAGATTTAGAGAAAGAAATTTGGTCTCTCGTGCCCCATTCATTTGAGATACTAAGCTCTTGTAGACAGTCTGCTTTTCACAGATGGAAAATGTTTGCTATATGTGCTGTTTAAATAAAAGTAGCAAAATAAATTAACTGATCAAGGAAAAAAAACTCAGGACAGCCTGGAGAGCAAAGCACTTCATCCTCTTCACCCAGCTACAGCCAAGCATAGACTGCTGCTGTGTGCTGCTCTGATCATCAGCCACCAGCTCTGCTGTTATGGAGGGAATGGGATCACCATTGATTTGGCTTTATTTTTCAGTACCTTCACTCCTTCAGGGCTCACAATCAATACTGAGACTCTGTGAAAGGCATTCATTCGTACAACAGGTCCATATTTCTCTGCCCTGTAAGAAGAGAAATTTTTTTAAAAGAGAATTATGGTTATTATCAGCATGTAACATCTCAGACCTAATAACTTTGAAGGACCAGAGCACATTGCAGTGGGAAATACTGCAGTCCCCAGCCAATAAAGCCATTAGGAGAACAGAATAATCAAGGTTGGAAGAGACCTTCAAGATCATCTGATCCAACCATCAACCCTTCACCACCACAATCACCCCTAAACCATATCTCCAAGGGCCATATCCAGACGTCTCTTGAACATTTCCCCAAAGTTACTCCACCACTATCCTTATTCCAATGGCTAACCATTCTTTCAGTGAAAATGTTTTTTCTAATATCTAATCTGATCTGAAAGCTCTCCCTAGCTTCTTTTTCCAACCATCTCACTGATGCTAATTATGTCATTCTGTAAGGGTCTTTGTGCCTTGATTTCTCAATATGTGCTACAGGACTACCCCATTCAATGTTACTGATGTGCCTCGACTTACCACTGCAGCAAGAGATCTGGTGTAAACTCCTGTTTCCTCACCATTCTCCATATGATTGGCAGGTGTCCAAAGAAAAAGCTGCAGAATATGAAGGTTAAGAGTGTCATAAGGATGCCAGCATAGGGTTTTGTATGGATTGCAATCCTTGTTGCTCCGTGAGTGTTGCTCATGTTTTCCTCGTAAGGGAAGATGGAAATAACTCTGAGCTGTGCCAATGCCCAGCCCTCACCAAGCTGGTAAATTGGGGACCAAAGACATGCAGCTCGCATGCAGCCAGAAGAACAGCACAGAGATAAAGGATGAGATCATTTTCTTATGCTGTATTGTAGGAGATATTTGGGTCTGGATGGGATCTCCCATGAATTTCGTTGCTCTTTGCCTGTCTGAGTGAATCTTGACTGCAGCTATTAGACTGCTGTACATGAAAGAGATGTTTGCATTAAACACTCCTTAATATGTGCTCGTCCCTGGTAAGTGTAACTTCATTTCTGTCAATGCATTTCTGTTAAGAGAAATTAGGAACCATCTCCTTCTGTCCAAAACTGCATAATTTCAAATACTGAGGAGGATAATTACCAGTTAATATGGAAATTGAAGAAATTAATAAAAGATGTTAACTCTTCAAATACAATAGCTGCATTAAAAACTTAAGAGATCAATTCCTTCTTTCAACTGTGAGTGGTGAATTCTCACTGGCTTTGCATAAATCTGAGGGAAGATTTGGCCATGCTCCTCTCTAAATGAAGCAAGCTGCACTCAAGATCTGTTTTGCATTTGAGAGACAGAGAGCCATGTTATCATCCTTTTCAGTATAAATAAGCTATGGGGGAAAACAGACTCTTATTTTATTACTGTTGGAACTGGGAGGCACTTAAAATAACAAGAAACTCAACAAAGTTACTCAACGTCTACAGAAACTTTTAATCCTCCACTTGTTTGAATCCTCCTTTGTAACTGTATTCCAAAAAGACGTGAAAGCCCCGAACACAACTCCTTTGTTAGCTCTGCAAACTGTCTATATCTGCAGCACAGGAAACAAGCTCCCACTCGTGGCTCCTCTGGTGTGCCATCACTCCATAGGGTTACTTCACACCTCAAAATGAACCTAAGGATGAGCAGGTTCAGGTATGACAAGATCATCCTCTCTGACCCTGATTACACAAGCAGGATGAAGCCTGGAGCTGGGCAGGAGAGAATGGTGTCCCTGTAAAGCTGTGCATGAGCGCTGGTGTCTCTTCCTGTGGCATGTAAGGAGGGCATGTGCACCCACAGGTGAGGTTAAGTGGGAAGGTCATGCATCCCTGCAGGAACCACGACTCCTTGTGACAGCACTGCCACTGTCTTGCTGGCAGCTTCCTCACTGCCCCTTATCCCTCACGACATTTTTATTTATTTTTGGCAGAAGTTAAGCACCTGGCTGATGAAGGGGGGCACGGAAGGTGCCTGGTGGAGTTAGTGTCAGGGTATCTCCCGGCGCAGCGCGGCACGGCTGGCGGTGCCGGTCCCGCCTGCGCGGTGACGCGGCTGTCACGTCCCTTCCCAGGGCCATGGGCACACGCACAGCTCCGCGGGCGGCCCTGACTCCCCTTCGTGCCGCTGTGGCCCTCGGGAGATGCGGGTGAGGACACGCAGCCCAGCCGGGCGGGCCGTGCTGCCGGGCAGGTGCGGGATTCCCGGCACCGCTCCCCGGGAAGCGGGCACACAGCAGCGCCGGGCCCGGCCTGCCTGACCCTCGCCGCTGCCCCTGCCCCAGCCGGCGGTCAGGGCTGATTTCCTGCTCTGACACCGCCTCCCGGCTCCAGCCTGGCACGGAGCGCTCCGCGGGGACAGCGAGCCAGCCCGCCGCCCCTCGCCGCCCGGCCAGCCCCTTACCTCTCCCGCGGGGCGCCGGGGATGTGGTCGTACTTGGCGTGGACGTACTGCACGTAGCAGCAGTACAGGACGAAGGCCAGGAGCGACAGGGCCAGCAGGAGCCCCCCCGCCGCCCACAGCACCTCCATGCCCGCCGGCTGCCAGCGCCTCCGCCCGCCCCGTGCAAAGGGCGGCCGGGAGAGTCCCGGCTGCGGGCGGGACCGCTCCAGTTAAAGAGCCCGGCGGCGGCGCTGGCAGCGCGGGGCTGTTCCAGCGCACCCGCACGGCCTCGGCCCGTGCCTGGGTGTGTGGATGTGATCCGGAGGAGGTGCTCACAGCGCTGGAGTGAGCACTTTTCCTATCACGTAGTGATATGATAAGGGGGAATGGCTTTGAACTTAAAGAATGTAGATCTAGATTAGATATGAGGAATAAGTTCTTTACGATGAGGATAGTGAGGCACTGGAACAGGTTGTCCAGAGGAGTTGTGGATGCCACATCCGAAGTGTTCAAGGCCAGGTTGAATGAGGCTTTGAGCAACCTGGTCTAATGGAAGGTGACCATGGCAGGGGATGAAGGTGGAACTAGATGATTATGGTCCCTTCCAACCCAAACCATTCTATGATTCTGTGACATATATATACATATATATATATATATATACATACATATACATATATATATATATACACATGTATATATACACATATATATATACATATATATATACATATATATACACATATATATACATACATATACGCATATATATATATATATATATATGAGTGTGTGTGTGTGTGTGTGTGTGTGTGTGTGTGTGTATATGCTTACCTGGGTGGAGATGATGCTTTGCACAAGTGCATGAATCAGGACGTCAGGAAGGATGCTGCACCTTCCTATGTTTGTTTACAAAAATGTTTTAAGTAAAGCTGGTCTCTGAAGGGTCCTAGACAAATCAAGCATCCCAGGACAAGGAAGGCAGAGGCTTTTTGTTGACTTCTAACTGTTTAAATTAGAAGAGTCAACAGAAATGTACTGTTGGTGCCTGTAGGAATCAGTAGGTGAAAGTTTTTAGAGCAGTCTGCTTTGGGCACCATGTTATACAACATGCTCATTCCTCATCCAGACAAAGGAGTGAGAGTTAATACTGTTTTATTCAAAACAAACCATCTAATACTCACACAAATTGTATAATGATTGCAGGACACAAAAGACTAAGCCATAAAATAAATGGTGGAAATTAATTTCTGATGAATGAAAAGTAATGCATGGAGGAAGACAAAATATGTGTATACATATCCATATACATGCAAGCCAGTTATATATATTTAGTGGTGGTACTTATTCAGGAACTTCACCTTAATGCTCAGCACTGATGAAAGAAGCAAGCAGAGCATTTGATAGTGATTAGAAATGGGGGAGCAAGTAAAACAAGATGCCTGAATGTACTGGTAGATGGAGACCTGGATAAACCCGAGGCACACTCACCGTGTGGGAATACCCCATGCACCCTTACCAGCTCAGCAGAGGTGCACAGACAGAACAGGCTAAGCCTCAAACTGGAAAAAGGACGAGTGAGGGAGGTTATGACAGGTGTCAGGAAAACCACCAGTGGTTTGCAGATAAATAGGAACAAATGGAGTCATTACTTTGCATAATTCAAGGACAAGGAAGTACCCACTGAAATGATCCAGCAGCAGGTGTAAAAGAGGAATACATTTTCCACAGCAAATTGTTAAACAGGGGAACTCATGGCAACAAGCTGTTGTGAGAGCTAAGTAAGTGGGCTCACAAGGAGCCAGGAAAAGTGATGGAGATGGCATCAGGAACCATCACTAGCCTCAGAACCTCTGCACTCTGGGGATTCCCAACAGGAGCAGCAAGACCCCAAATTGTTCAAGAAAACCAAGAATGTATACAAACCACCTCATGCATCCTCCTTTCTTCCCATCCTGCCCTTAGTCTAGCAGTCTTTCAATCACTGCAACAACCTCTATAGTCTCCTATAAACCCTCCCCTTCTTCCTTCCTTCTCAGATTCTTGTTAAGTCACTTCACCTAGTGACCTAGCAGCAGGTTGTGCACACTCTGTCCCTTTGAAGGCTGCTTATCTTGCATACAGGGTGGCTGACACTCCTCTCCACCATTTCCACAGCTCTGAGTACAGCAGGACAAGCACAAGCAGGATCTTTGCAGCCCCACTACACCCAAAAGAAAACAAGCACAGCACCTGGCAATCAGACTTTCACAGGACAGCCCATTATATACTCCTTTTGCTCAACCATCTGGAGGTAGCATACCAAGCTAACTGGAATTTTATCATATGTATTTTTCACATCTGGGTTTCTGCCCTGTTTGGCAGCACCATAGGGGACACTGTAGGAGTTTTCATCCTATTTCCAATGGGATGTATATTCCCTGCACCCTTCCCTCAGCAGCTCCCATATGGTCATGCCTCTCTGCAGAAGAAGGGAGAAGATGTAGCTCCTGGCACCCCCTGTTTTTGTCCATTCAGTGCATGAATCATCTGCCAGACACCTCCAAGAGTCAGCTCGCTTCAGTTTCTAAGTGGAAACTGACAGTGCTAGAAGGCAACAATCTGCAGGCTTTCCTTAGTTTTCTTATTTGGCTTTCTGTTACATTCAGTGTTAACATTGATTTTTCTTTCAAAATAATTGCCTTACAACCATTAATTATTTTCCCCTCTGTTTAGAGTACATATTCTCAAAGATGATCATGTTTATTGAACTGTTCTTTTCATTTATCTTAATTGAAACTACTTTTTTTTTTTTTTTTTTTTTTCCCTGTTAAGGCTGTGGTTTTAAGACTGCCTGTTTTCAGAAAAATGCTACCATTCCTTCCCACAGGAAGTCAGGCAGTGCACATAATGATAACATGGTATGAGTATCCATCACTAGGAAAGATATAACTGATAGCAAGAATAGCATCACCCAGAGAAAGTTTAAAAACTAAAGCTAGCTGATGAAACCATCTTTTTTAAGACATTCAATGAATTTCTGGATTAAACATTGATTTTCTGAGTTTCATCAATGTTTTTTCAGCATACTTCAAGAATAGATCGTAACTCTCAGTACGTTGCTCTTTCATTCAGAATTAGTCTCAAAATAATTCCTGTGAAAAATTCCTGTTTGTACTTTGTTTATGAGCAGCTAACTGGGAGGTGATAAAATATTTTGTATTTTATACACTTTTATGGGAAAGAGAGGCTATGTGATACAGTTCTAATCCCTGAGTAAATCGAGTACGCTCTCACAATTAGGCTTCTCAGACAAATATAATTATCCCAATAACTCCCTTAAGTAATCAGCCTGGATATGCTGCAGAAAATATCTTATTTTTCATGCTTTAAAGATTAACTTCAATAAAAGCTTTTGTTTGTATTCCAAGAAACTTTAATACAACCCTGTGTCTGTATTCTAAAGTGTTTCCATACCCTCGAGCGAAGGACATGATCCCAAGGCACTCACTCCTGTGTCTGTGATCTGCCCGGGAGCCGCACGCTGCGCTGGGGGACGGAGCTGGGCTGGGCTGAGCTCCCCGCGGGTCCCCTGGCTGCTGGGGACTGAAGTGCCACCGCCTGGGCATTCTGCCAACCTGCACATTCCCGAGAAAAAGCCAGGAGCAAGACACAGCTGGGAGCGGCCAGGAGAGCAGAGAACTGGGGACTGTTAACAGGTGAAGTTCCAAGGTGAACTTGAAAAGCTGCTGAGACATAGGGTTGGTCCGAACTCCTGCTCGCTTTTGCTTGGCTTTGCATGGGCTGAAAACATTCTGTTCTCTCTCTGAAGGTGCAGCGTTGTTTATGTTGTAAGTGAGGACAGCAAGGAACAGGCAGAGCTTAGGCAGCTCCTGTGGTGGGAAACGCCTTCAGCAGCGCACAGGTTGCCAGAGGGCTGGGCACCCTGGTCACTCAGAATTTACCACGGCAGATGTGGTCAGGAAAACTCAAAAAGCAAGTTAATAATGATTAATTAGCTGATCTAAAACCAGACCTCTAGCCACAGATTACACTGTAGTTAGGAGTCAGAACAAAATCTGCAGTGGGTTAGGTGTTACTTACCCAGCATTGCCAAATACAGAGCTTTGCAGTGATTTTCACCCTGAGTCAGTTGTCCCCCAGCGTTATATACTGAGGTCCTGATCATGCTGAGCCAATAAAATTTTCCAGCATGGAGTGGACAAGTGAATGGCAAGATGTTAGTAATAAGAGAAACAGACTAAGGATTTAGTGATTGCCAACAGCTAATGCCCTTGAGGAACAAACTACTTAATGTGATACTTGTACAACTGACTGAACACTACAGCCTTTTTTTTTTGTTGTTGTTGTTAAAAATAGCATCCCTATTTACCACATTGTTGCGAAGGAATGATTGCCATTTCCATCTAGCTGCTTTTCTGACAATGTTGTAACATTGCTCGAGGCAGCTCTATATCTGCACCTGTGCCCCAGACACGAGAGCCTTGGGAAAGTCATGTACAAGGCAGCAAGGTATGAGCACACATCAAATGGGTTCCATGTTTTCTTGGTTTACAGAGGGAAAAAATGATGTTCTCTTAAAGCTTAAATTTGGAATACAGTTAGTATTTATCAAAAGATGCTTACATCTCTTCTCATATATAAAAAATGTGTGTTTATGTCTGAAAGTATGTAAGGGGGCCAATGCATCTCACATGACAACCTGACTTTTAGAGAGGACTACTGGCATGTTTCCAATACAAAATCAGACTTGAATATTCATACTTGTGACTGTTTTTCTCCTCTGTGCTTCTGAATTTCCATGTTGACCACACCCAGACAGTGTCAGGCTGAGCTGTCCTACAGAGGGATGGATCTGTGCTGGGGACTGTCCCCCCCACCAGGTGTATCAATGCTGACTCCTGAAAGAAGAGGGAGGCTGAGCTGGGCACAGTGCTGGGAGTGGTTTGCTGGGTTTGGGCCCTGGAGCAGGGCAGGTGTTCAAGAGCTGCTGTTCTCCCTAGGCCATCATAAAGCACAACACAAAGGTCTAACTGGTGAGAGGCTGATAGGGTGGATAAAGGCAAGACAAACACGATGGCAGCACGTGAAACTGGGGCCCCAGGCTCACCTTTGCACCCTGTGCCAGTGTCACCCACAGTGACACTGAGCTTTCTGAACGTGACATGTCTTCAGTACAGTTTGATTACAGACCTCTGCACTTATTAATGTGATACATGGGCCTCATGCTGTTCGTACCCTGCAGCCTGAGCTGGGCAGAGCCAAAATTCCCCTGATATGGGGGATATCCTCATGGCATATTCCAGCCAGGGCTCAGCTCCAGGAGGGTTTTGCTGGCATTTGAGTGCGAACCCCTGATACAACACCCTACCTACTTCACTATCCCTCCACTGCTTGGCAGCAACCTCTAAAGAGAGGTTATTCCTATTTTTTATTATTAAAGAGATTATTCCTAGATATGTTGGGGAGATTTATCTATTGTATTTCTTGGAAAGAACATGGTAAATTCAAATTAAGATAATGTCTATACTGCAGACTGCAACACAGTGTGGCAGTGCTCAGGTTGGGTGCTGGGCACCACAAGGTCGTAAGTGAAAAATCCTGAGCTCTGGATAGAGCTACTCTGCTTTGGAGGTAGAAAAAATATATGGAAGGGCTGAGTTTACACTGTTCCCTTAGAGATATGCTGGGTCCTCTATGTGATGCAGCTGTGCTAACTTAAGGAAAGACATGTAAGGAAAATGCAGGTTCTCCAGTCTCAGTCACAGAACCGAATCAGGAGACAAGGCAATAAAACATATTGCTACTGGACAAAAGCTTGGGACTGCCACCTGAGGAAGTACATGAGGAAGTCTGGTTGCACTGTGGGCTAGTTGAAGATTTATCCTGAATTAGCATCCAGGAAGTATGCTGTCATGTTCAAGTGTAGCAGCAGGGCTTATTAGTTTAACTAATGTTTAACTGGTGTGACATCCTGCTATATAAAAATGATATCACTAAGAATCCTATTAAAAAACAGATGAGATAGCAGGTATTTAAATGCATGTGTACTTGTGTGCTTTAAATAGTACAGGCTCGTAATTTAAATACCAGTGAACTAGACTGAAAGATACCAGGAGTTAGAACAGATATATTTTAATCTTGGAAGGGACCACAATGGTCAGAAATACCCTCCCAGCATCACAGCAGTGCACTGAGCTGGCAGGCACAGACATGCACACACAGCCACGTGCACTGAGCTGGCTCCATCCTATTTGAAGACCTTCCCTACTCAGTGTAGGCTGGGAGAAGGGATAAGAGGGAAAAAACCCCTGTACTTAACAAGTCTTGTCTCTTTTTCTGCTAGTAAATATTTCCCTGTGGAGCTGGCAGCACCCACATAGCAGCATCAGCAAACAGCTCACCAGCGAGTCGGGGTGCAGGGCTCAGTGCCAGCACAGCCAGGCACAGCTCGGTGTCAGCCACAGCTGCTCCCTGGGCTGGCTCCCTGTGCCCCTGGCTGCCACCAGAGCCTTGTGTCACCCTGCCTGCCAGCCTGGGCTGCTGGAAATCCCCACCAGCTATAGCCAAGATGTACGTGGCCTCTGCTTGTTCTCAGGATGTTTAAATGGACTAAAGCAGGTGTAGGGTAGCTAACAGTAAAATTAGAAAAAGAATACTTAATAGTTAGAAAATGATGGTGAAATTCCTGCCTAATTCGTCTGTGGCAGACATCCTGGAACCACCTCAATTCCTTTAGGGTAACTTTTATTGTGCAGGTCTTTTTTCTACCCAGAGATTTTGAAGTATAACTATGATCAAGGTTCTTCTTAAAATCTCCCAGACAGAGGGAGTTGAAATTTGGCCAAGGAGCCGAAAGAAGTGGAAGAGGAATTTGGAAAAAGAAACATTGTATCTCTACCTTCAATTTTCTTCCAGCCTTCTAGTCCCACCAGCTCAATAAGTTTCAACTCTTTTAACAGAAGAATTTACAAAGGACTCTCCTGTCCCCTGAACGTTTTGATGGGCCTGAAGTGAATTTCTGCACTTGAAACAAAAAAGTTTGCAACTTCATTGCAAAGGGAAAGGCCTGATAACAGTCTGGTGTGTAATGGCATTTGTAGGTTTTCAAACAAAATGAGAGTAGTACTTCTCAAAAGGCACTTTATACATCTGTTCCTCCTTTAGACTTCATAGGAAGTAGGGGGAAACACATTTTTTTTTTTTGGATCATCTGATTTTGGGTATTGAAGGTGTTCTTTAATACCAAAAACAATTTAATGAGAATTTATCAGAAATTTGAGGAAAATTGAGGAAAAATATTTAAAACAGATTAATTTACCCTATACATGTTTTAGGCTTAAGAAGATATTGTCAACTTGAATTTGGGTTAAAATAAATATCCACAGTAAGATCTTTAGATACAAGGTTTTGCTTTTCTAAACATACTGGTCATTTTATATTTGAGGGTTTTTTATTTTGTTGGGGTTTTTTTCCCTTGTCTTTCTCATGATCTTGTGTGAGCAACAAGACAAAACCTATCTTGATTACACCAGGGAAAACAAATAACCAGGCCAAAAGCTTTCATAAACCAACATGTGTCTCCCATCATCACTCAGGTGAAAAACACATTTCAGACAAAATAGGGTTGCTTTTGTTTGCTTTTTTTTTTTTAATATCCTCTAAAAAGGGGTAAATATTGCTGGATTATTGCCCCAGTGCATTACCTTTTGTCTAATCATTCACACCTGTGAAAAACTGAATGAAAAAACATGTGCCTTCATGAACTTTGGGAAAGTGGAGAAACACGTACTGTCTTCAGAGCTAAACTGGATAATGACCCTGTGCATCTAAAAAGGGACAGATTTTTAATCTGTTTATGTAAAGGGGGTTAGATTTTCTTTTCTCTTAGGCTAATATAAACTGCAGAAATATTTTCCATGCAGTACACTATGGTTTCCTCTAAATCACCTGATTTTGTTTATCCTTCGTGATCAATAGGTTTATACCAATAAAAAGCATTATGGAAAAATATTTTTCCTTTTAACTAATGAGTGGAAGAAATTATTATATAAATTAACTAATGGTTAAGAAATTATATATACTTTTGTAATTTGCAAAGAAAGGCTCAGATTTAGAAAGGCACATCCTCAGAAACCTCAGCTTAGAGCTGCAGGTGGCAAAGCAAGGCAAACAATGGAAACACTTCCATAAGAGTGAAACATGGCCATTTGGGAATTTACTTTTTGGCAAAATATTGCGATGCACAGCTGAAGAATGCTGTATCTTAAAATGGGAAAGGGCAGCAGGATGCATCTCTTTTCTGATCTGTAAAGGCTGATGCTTGGGGGTTTCTCCTACAAAAAAAACCCCATAGAAATGCAGGACCTGCCCACAACATACTCAGTTCAGTGCTTCATTTTACTTTTTTTTTTTTTTTTTCCCTCTGAAGCAAATGCATGGGGACATGAAGAAAACATAAGATTACTTTGAACAGATGCAGCATCCTCAAGGGAGGGTACACCCTCCTCAGTACTGCAGCTGGTTTAGAGGGCTGGGCAAGAAGCAGATATGCTCCGAGTCCCTCAGCTGCCTTCCCCGGCTCTCGTCACCGCCGTGTCACCTCCTCCCGGCTGCACACCACACCGGCATCCTCCTCGTGCGAGCAGTTGTGCGTGCCCACAGCGGCGTGGGCGCACTCCAGCAGCGTCCTCTCCTGCCCGGAGCAGCGCACATCATCCAGAAGGATGCGGAGGGCGCTCCCTTCCCCGAACTCCGCCTTCTTGGCGGCCCGCACGGCGAAGGGGAAGCCGAGCTGGCGGCACACCACGGCGGCGGCGGGCAGGCTCCAGCCGTCGTCGCACACCGTGCCCCACTGGCCGTCGATGAACACCTCCACCCTGCCGCGGCCGCGGCCCCGCCGGCCCTGCCGCACCAGCCGCACGGCGCCATTGCCGGGCCGCTGCTTCTCCCTGCGCCGGGCCCGCTCCTCCCCGCCCGGCCCGGGCCCGGGGCCGCCGCCCGCCGCTGTGCCGGGGCCGCCCGGCCCGGCCCGGCTCCCCGCACGGCTCCCCGCACGGGTCCCCTGCCGGTCCCCGGCCGGCCTGCGGGGCCTGCGGGGCTCCTCCGGGCCGCCTCCCCGCGGGGCCTCGGTCGGGCTCTTCAGCCGGGGAGGTGGCGGTGGTGTTGTCATAATAAACTCTGTTGGGGGAAAAGGCAGAAAGGCGTGAGTCTGTCGCTCTCTGGGCAATGCTTGGAGACAACTATACGAAACCAGTGCTGATTTTTGACTTATATAACTATTTTCTTGGAATTCGCCTACTTGGTCGTGTTGGGAAGCAACAACACTCTTAGCGACCCGCTATTTCCTCAGTGAAAAGTGTGGGCTGCTGTTAGCTAGCAGAGAGGACTGCAGGGCTGAGTGCCAACACTGAGCCTCTCCCAAAAAGGAAGCTCCAAGAGGTTTCTTGGCAAAAGTCAGTCTGGCCCTTCAAGGGTAGGTGATGGTTTTCACCGTATCCCGGCGAAGAGCTGCCGAAAGCATTTCATGGACAGCCACTATTTCTGCTCTTCTCTTCATTACTCAGGATTGGATCATTACCAGAGGAGAGCGTGGCCTCCCTGCTGGGCCAGATGCTTTATATTCAGGGGACCTGAAATCTGGAACATTCAAAATCAATTCTCTCTGGCAACTGGAATGTGCAAGAGGAACAGAGTTGCCAGGACAACACATAAAACAGGATTTGGGGTGGGTTTGTTCTTCCTTATGAAAAAAAGAAAAAAAAATAAAAGAGCCTTGAATTCTGAAGAGATGAAAATTCTTTGCTGTCACAGTTTCCAGGTGTTACTGGACTTGCTTATTCGCATGTGCTTTATTTTTAGCTTAAAAATAAGTTTTAGTTTGCCAGAGGGAAGCAATTCAGAATTTCACGGAATAACATTCAACAGAGCTGGGATAGTGTCACAGACATTTGCAAAGTCATCATGACTTTGAATTATATCCCAGATTTATGCATCCTCATTCATCATTTGGTTTGTAGTACAGAGATGAGGAAAAATATCAGTGTCTTATTTGTGCTTATTATCTATTGTCCCCGAAATACAAACCCTCACAGTGGTCCATGTTTTTCCAAATAATGATCTTTGAAAAGGAATTGTGTTCATGACATGAAAATATTTCCTTCCTTTGAAAGTTGTGGTTCTCAAGGCAAGAAATAGATTTGAAGGCCTTACCTGTGCACAGCTCATTTGCTGGAGCCTGGTCTGGCAAAGCACTTGAAAACCCTGGGACTGATTGAATACTGTGTAGGACTGTATGAAAGCTAATGGTCACCTGGGAGTGCTTTTCACCTCACTGGATCAAATTGTCATTATATAATACTCCCTAATAAACTATTTATTAAATAAACTTCCAAAAAATGCACTCATAGCTAATACAAGGCACATGCCCTGGTGATTCTGTTACTTTCAGACTAAATACTAACCAAAACAATAAATATTTACAGTGAAACATCAGTGTTTGCATGCTTCTGAATCAAAATAGCTGTGCTTATTTTTCACCAAAAAGAGAGTGTAGCTCTTAACACACTAGGTAGAATCTCTCCCACCATTTCTAAGTTTTAATTAATGACAAAAACTACCTTGTAAAGAAGCCCAAAAGATTTAGTTATATGTATAGTTTAAAAATCTGAACTTTGGACTTGGGTAGAGAGTAATGCACAAGCAGAAACGGACAAAAATGGTTGGACATGAGCCAAGTTGCTAATATTTGGAAGCTGCCTGCTCAGCTAGAAGAAGAGAATATCTCTGGAGATGCTGAGTGCTCAGGCATGTCAGCAGTCAATAATTAGCCTTAGAGTTTGTTCCACCTTAAAGACTTGGTGTTGCAAGGTGCTGAGTGCCCTCATTATTCCCTGAAGCCAAAGCTGTAGGAACTGTTAGTGACTCAAATGCAATGTAATGTGATTGTAGTAATTAAAAATTAAATGAAAGTATCCTGACTTTGGAGTTCCTGCAGGACCATTAGCTTTGTTCATGGACTGTGAAAGTTCATGGACTATGCTGAGTTGGAAGGGAATTTGTTGGGGTGCTGCCTAGGTACCTACATATGTAAATTAAATGCACAGGGGAAAAGTGCATTCTTTTCCCCTGTGCATTTAATGTGCTACTGCCTAGTCTACTTTTGAGATCCTAATATAGTGTTTAGGGTTTTGTTTCTCACATAAATAGTCCTTGGCTTGCTGCAGGTTCAGCCCCACCACAGACTACTCCAGCTTTAGCAGTACAATACATCACACAGCATGAAGCAATCAAAAGGCCCTGGAGGGTTTGGTTAAGCCAAAAGTTCACCTCAGTGTGTGATCACTGATGATATTGGGAGCATTTTCTCATCCCATCTTTTCTCACTTTCAACTAACAATGACTCAGCTCTCATCTTGCTCAATGAGCTGCTTCCCAACCCTCTACCCATCATATCCTCTCCACTACCCGAAGCTACTGCAAAAAACACTTGTCACTGAAAAGCACCATTGAGCACATGGTCTCTGGACAGGAACAGTTACAGGGAAACCAAGCTGGTGGTAATGAAATGTGTACAATGTAGCTTGAAAAGGGGAAAATGAACAGGGCCAGAAACTACAAAGGAAATTTCACATGGCCAGGAAAGGGGAAATAGTGTACGACTTATTTGAACCAACTCTTCAGATCCAAAACATCTGGAAAGACATCTGGAAAGACTTAATTTTGAGGATACCCTCAAGAGTGAAGTTCTGGGTAGTCTCCACACATGTGGAGAGATAGTGCAAGTCTGGAGTTTGTATCTACTGCCAGATAACATGAACCAGTAATAAACAGCAAGAGTAACACTCACTCTCCTTTGGCACAAACAGGATGCGCTTGCTTTTGACTTTCACTGGCGATGGCTCAACTTGGCATTTTCCTGGTGGTGCTGTCCTTGAAATAAAGGGACACGTACACTGCACAATTAATTCCTTTCCTCTGGCATTGCAACACTTTGTTTCCCATTATTTTCTAAGAACATAATTCTTATTGGAAAAAAAAAAAGGTCTGTTTAAATGATGCAACTAATCTCTTACAGTAGAAAACATAACTAAAGAATCACAGATAACCATTGATGAAAACCCAAATATTCACAAGGCAGTGGAGTCCTCTGTCTGTGTTTTCAGTTGCCACTATTGAAGCCATTAAGAAAATAAAACATTGGCAGATTCAAGCACTACAGAAAGAGATTAATCAAAATGAAAATAAAAATTACAAAACTAGACAGTATATGTTGAATATCTGACACAAAGATCATGTGTATGCAAGATTTCAGACTGTTTTTACGGAAGCAAAATAACACACTATTATTCATACAGAAAGCCCAAACAAATGTCGTGCCAAAAATGCATTAGTTTCAGAAAAGAACTCTAAGTGTCTCCTCAGAGGCTTTGTCTTAGTGTGGTGCTTTATTTTGACAGAATTTGTTTGCCATAGAGATGTATCCCACTTCTGGGGAGTAACATCCAGTTCATCACACTTTTTCCTATGACAGCCGTCTTGGTAAGCCTCAGACTCCTTCAGAGGTTTTTCAATTGGTTCAAAAATGAATGATGCTTGCATTTGGAGGGTATAACTCCTGGGCAATTAGGATTGTTTGCATTTGCATTTCTGTGGAAGGCAGAGAACTTCTCTCTCAGTTGTCTATACAAGTATGTTCCCTACTTTTATGAACTTTCCAATGACTTTTTTTGGTACTCGGAACATGAACGAAACTTTTATTTAAACTTAAACTTGCGGCTGGTGTTTGACTTCTGCTTTCTCTATTTTTGCACAGGTTGCATAATACCAGCTTCTTAATACATAGTTTACAGGAACTCTTCCATTGCATTAGATAATGGAAAATGCTCCTGACAGAGGAAAGTTGGATGAAACACATGAGAGATCTGGGGGCTTTTAAATTTTGGGGACTGGTTTCAACATAAAACTAGACAAGTGGTTTGGTTCAAAATCCTCAGATAGCTAAAGCTGTAAATTTAATCCATTAAAAAAAAACCTATAAAAAAATCTCACTCTCTATTTCTGGCTGAAAGTAGCTTGGTGTTTAGCCAATAATAGTAACACTTTAAAAACAGGAAGATGGAAAAAACAGCTGTAAGTCTTCCCATAAAACACAGCTATTCCCTGCCTTGCCCAGTCTCAGATACAGGCACATGGAATCCAGGAAGTGCAATGATGGTCCTTTTTTCTTATTCAATCCATATTGCTCTTTGAAACGCTAAGAAGCATGTACTTTTTTGATATTTTGCCCAAGAAAGAACTGCAGGTCATACTGGTCCAGCTTTGGCTGCAGGGCTCTTGTGGGAGATGAAAAAAAGGATGGAGGGGAACTCAGAAAAAACACCTTAAGAAAAAGTGCCTCCTTCTGGGCAAGAATATAGAAAAATTTTGCCCAAGAAAGACAAGCCACCCTTTAGCGTTCACAAAATCTCCAAACCCACATAACACCAACAGGCCCCATAAAAGTTTGGCACCAGGCATGTAGACCCCCACGACAGCAGGAGAAAAGTAGACCCACAATGGGTTGCTCCAGATGTTCCTTGATTGAATTCCCCAGAAGGGCCCAGCATGGGAGAAGAGTTAATTAGTCAGCCAGCACGAATCATCACATCCACACCATCACACAACCCACAGCAGGAACTCACTGCACGCCTTGCAACAAGAACATCTCATACCTGGAAGTGTCCACCACTTTGTACACCACTCCGTTGGGAGCTGTGGCACTTGGTACACCAGTGGATAGGAAGTACAATTCCCCTGGTAAAAAAAACCAGACACACCCATGAAAATTCTCCATGGAGTTTCTGTCCTTTACAGCACAAAGGCATTAACTCTGCATCACGGGCCTGAGAGCTCATCTGCAGTCCATTGGCATAAAATACTCCTAGTGAGTGGCAGCTTTTACAAAATTGTCATGCATTATTATTTGGATAAATTTCCTCTGCAGGTTCATCTGCCCAGACCTTAGTTGTCATCTCATATGATCTGTGTTCTTTGACTCTTCTAATGGAAAACAGTCAAATCCTGAATTACTTTTGTTGAAATGAAAGAAAATTAAGAAAGTTCAATGTCTTCTGCTCATTTGGATGAAGCACTCCTTTGGGGTGAATTAAGATTTTGCTTTTGCTTTCTCTAGCACACTCACAGAGTGAGACATATCTCAGACAAAAGACATTTGATTCATCACAGCTCTGTCAGGTCACATTTGCAGGGCTCAGCCTTCAACCCAACAATGTCCATCACCATTTATTTGACTTATTTTTTCTTAACTGCATTTCTATCCTTCTTCTCCTGTTGTGCAGGGAAGACTGGGATAAGCAGTCCTTCTGGCACTCATTTGAGAGCTCAGGTGCTTGAGCAGTGCAACAAAAAGGATCAGAGAGAAAAAATATATTTGCAATATTAAAAAAAAAAAAAAAGTTAGAAAATAGAAAAGGAGGCAGAAGACTCGCTTAGTGAATAAGGCAGATTTTTTTGGGTGTTCTATGGGTAGTCCAGGGGGAAGAGGGGAAGGAAGAGAGAGGTCAGTGTGAGCAAGGGAATGTGTAGGCAGTTGGTGGCAGCTGAGGTTGAGTCTCTGTCCTCCTACCCACTCTCCTGTGCTGCTTTGGGCTGAGTTCCTCCAGATAATCCCAAGGCAGAAACCTTTGGCTACCCCTGGCTGGCTTCTTCATTTTTCTGGTCAGCTTCATTAATGACAGGCCAGAGGCAGCCTTGGTCCAAATGGGGACAGGAAACACCGGCACTGAGTTTTGTGGTGATGTGTATTTTACATCCTGCCCCTCTTTCCTGGAAGTTATCAGGCAGGAGTTTGGATGCTCAGGCCATGAAGCACAGAGGCTACACACATGTGACCCACAGACACAGTGCCTGGGGTGTCTCTGACATGTTCTGCTGGCCAGGGATGGGGCTGGTGGCTTTATAATTGCTGTGCAATGAGCCAAAACCAGAACTCTCCCAATGACATATTCACACCCACTGCACCAGGTAGATTAGCATCCATCAGAGCATCAACCCCAAAACTTAAATGCTTCTGTGAAGAAAACCCTGTTAAAATAAACTCTGTGGCAAAGTTGTAAAAAATGAGATTCCTAGTACACAAAAAAGGTACAAGAGAAGACTGCCCACAGCAGATAAATCAACCTCACTGCTGTGTTATCAACAGATTTCTTTCTATTACTATAAAGCAAGCACAAGGCAATTAACTACCTCTGAAATAAGACTCCAGCCCAAATCTCCACTCAGCTCTATTGCATTTATACAAAACACAGTGTAGGGCAAAAGAGTGGCAGCATTTCACCCCTGTTTTGTCCAGACTCTGTTGACAAGCACAGGATGAGGGATATCATCCTCGTGTGCATGAGCAAGGGCTGCAATCAACCACTTGATATTGCACTTGGCACAAAGCTGACTTGAACTAAGTTATTTGATTTTAGGTTAAGATATCCTTCT